CATCCCGTATGAAGTGAGTGTGAAAATTTGGCTATGTAATAATAGACATAAGTCCACATGGCCTATATGGGAACAAGATCACAATGCAATACATACATTGCTTCGTCTCCCCAAGCTCTGCCTACTGCTTGCCGTTTTACTTTATGTATGCTTCCCGGATGTTTTTGCACTAATTTCCTATGATCGTCAAACTCTTTTGAATCTTCGACCATTGAACCATCAAAAGCCGGACGTACACTTTCTCATTCTGCCAGAAACCTCGGAGTGCTTATGGATAGTTCTTTTAAATTAAACAAGCAAGTATCTACTGTGCTAAAAACCAGTTTTTATCAATTACGCCAAATTTCCAAAGCTAAGCCCTATTTACCGCATAAAGAACTCAAAAAACGTATCCATGCCTTCATCACTTGTAGATTGGACTATTGCAACTCTCTTTACCTGGGCCTCCAACTCTCCCTCCTTCAGCACCTGCAATTAGTCCAAAATGCGGCAGCACGCCTCTTAACCGGCACTAGAAGGCATGAGCACATCACCCCTGCCCTTGCTAACCTACACTGGCTTCCCGTCAAATATCAAATTAATTTCAAAATCCTTCTGCTCACTTTTAAAATTCTAAATAACCTGGCCCCGAGCTACTTAACTGATCTCCTTGAGCTGTACAAATGGTAAATGGTAAATAGCCTGTATTTATATAGCGCTTTACTAGTCCCTAAGGACCCCAAAGCGCTTTACACATTCAATCATCCACCCATTCACACAGACACTCACACACTGGTGATGGCAAGCTACACCCAAAGAGAGCACTAAGATCCTCCAGCCAACTGCTCCTAATGCAACCAAGGTCTCATTTAAAAACCAGAGGTGACCGTGCATTTGCCATTGCTGCCCCTAGACTCTGGAATAATCTCCCAGTCGAAACCCATACTTCGGAATCAATTCAATCGTTCAAATCCCGTTTAAAAACACACTTATTTAACTTAGCTTTTAAAACAAATTAGTTTGGCTTTCATTCGGTCTGCAGTATACCATGTAAATGCAATTTTAAGTATAATTGTACACACTGCGGTTTTATTGTGAAGCACTTTGATGTACACTAGTCTTTTAAATTTGCTATATAAATAAACTTTGACTTGACTCGATGTCAGACACATTACATAACTGACACCTCCAAGGAAAGGAACAGGTTTAAATGACATATATAAAAGTTAAAGTGGCAGGCGCTCATAATAATGCATGTCAGTCAAAACCAAGAAACAATCAAAAACCAGAAGCTACTTTTTTTAACAAAGTAATCACTTTTGAACATCTTTTTGCAGTCTTTCATCCCCTAATGTTTTTCATTCAATCCACTCCTCTCAGATCTCAGGTCAGAAGCAAAACAGCACCGAACATTTTGCAGCTCTCCAAGACTACCAACCATTTCAAACCCGCCTCCATATTTTTTTCCAAACCACTGCTGCCAATTCCACACACCCTAACCAACTCTTTGTACTCAGCCTATAATCACCAGATATTTTCCCCACAAATCCAGAACTTTATGACTAACACCACATTCCACTGACATGACGTTAACTGTTACAAAAAATGGGAGCAGAAAAAAGGCAAAACTGAGAGTTTAAAGGATGGAGGAACTGTTTAAAAGATGCTGACCAATTATAATTGCGATGAAAACTCAAGCAAGAAAAGTCTAACTTTACACTTTTGCTCCCTAGAGTTTGTGCTTGTTTACAGTGATGGCTGACTTCTGTAAACAGGAAGGGAGAAACAACCGGCAAAATCCTGATGACCCCTGTCTGTATCTTTATGTGACATATTCTGCATTATTAACCCCAGTTCACACCCATTTCCTTAAAGGGACCAACCCAGCTCCATGCAAAAGACACATAAAGCCACTGAGGCATCTGAACTGCTGCTGACATGTTGTAGGTTGCCATCATCACACAAAGCCAGTGTTTTGTGAAAATGAAGAGAAACTAGAACCACAAACCTCTTCAAAACGAAATGTTAAAACCAAAACTTTTAGGCATGGCAGAACATACAATTTTGAGTCACTAAACTCTCTGCTTAAGTGTTTATGTCACGCTGTAGCTTTGGTGAGGATTTGAATGTGGCATTAATAATGGCAACTTACTGAAACATACAAGGTCCAAAGATGGTTGCCAGATTTTCCACAGGCATGTGGTTTGACTGGCTGTGAGTGGCCACTCTGGATAGAAAGCAGATGAGGTAAGACAAAATATTGAAGTTGTCATCAGGGATTTGGGATAGTTTTTCTCTCAGACTTTGGTTCATCTCCTCCTCATCTGTGTATCCTAAAAATAAGAAAAACACAAAATACAATAACATGTACATTTCAGACTTAAAGAGTTTATATCTTATAAACATATATAAATTTGCATGAGAATTCATACTGAATAGTTTTTTAACATCACTTGTGTCTCTAGTTCTTTGGCATAGGCACTGTTAACAGGGGTGTCATTTTACAGAGTAAATAATTAATTTCTTACTCAGAGTACAATAGCCACCAACAGCTTGAAGTGCTGATACAAAGCAGAATGAATCTACATAAATATAAGATAGATTAAGATAGTTTTACCTAGCAGTTTATAGATAAAGTTTCCAAAGTGCATTTGCATATACATGTTTTGGTACTTAATGGTGAGGTTTTTGCACTGTTTTCTCTGGATTTAAGGGCATCATAGCTGCTCATGTTTTTTCACATGTTCCCAGGCTGACTTTTAAGATCAGGCCACTGACCTGGTACAGGTACATTAGTTCCATCGCTAGTTACTCTGCTGTATATTTGTATTTGTTATCATGCTTCAGTATAATTTCGGTCACGGTACAAAATCTAAAGAAAAAAAAAACTTATAGAACATTTAAAAGGATATTTCAGTGAGGCTTGATAGCAGCAGGTAGCTTCTCAGCCACGCCAAATTTCCTTTCCAGCTTTTTAAAGAAAGCTTGATGTGTTAAAATGGGATCAAGATGCGCATTAACATATTGACTGAGCTCAGCCTTGCTTGCATCAGGACTAACAATAATACTACCAATTTCAATGCAACCATATTTTACCTTAGAGTTAATAAAATGTGATACCACCTAATTGGCATTACCTGTTATGAACAGAACCAGCTGTTTGCGCTGAGGCTCAGGAATGAGAGGAACAGGGAGCTCCCGAAGGAAGAGTTTTAGTAGAGATGCTACAGTAGGGACATCTGCCTCATGGTCCAGGTCAACCCTCTCACCACTGTCCCACCGCTGCCTCAGCTGCCTGGTTCGCACCACTGACCCACACAGACGGAACAGACCTGTATGCTGCATTCCTGCAATGAGGAAAGGGAGTTAGTTAAGTGCACATTCAGGTGATGTTGCAAGAAAAAGCAAGGAAGAAATGAGGAATAAGGTGAGACTGAAAAGTGTGTGTGTGTCGGGGGCTATTACCATTCCTATCCAAGTAATCCACCATGTCTCTTAACACAAGGGGTATTCCGCAGACCATCTGCCCTTCCTCTCTCAGTGTTTCCAAAGCAACACCAAACACACACCTGGGTGCCTCTTCAGGCTCCGTAACCAGGGTGGGAATGAAGGGCTCTGGACTGATCTTGGCGCTGGGCCTCACAATTCTCACTGAAGACACATCGCTCTGCGTGACAAGAGGAGGCACAATGCAGCTGACTCAGTCAAAGTTTTTTATTATAGTCAATAACCACAGATGGGGGTTTTCTCTCTGTATTTTCTTTTCTCTTTTGACCCTTTAAAACCTGAACCATGAAATAACTACCCGAATCTTTAATTTTTTGATAATGGTGTGTTTGTTGACCCTTTAGACAAAATATATAAAAATATATCAAATTTTAATCTGCATTTATATACACACACACACACACACATATATATATATATTTAGTTTTAATTTGTATCACATTTTATCACATTTGCTACATAAGCCATATTTTTGCAATTTATTCATTAAAATGTGTCATGCAATTTATATCATTTTTTGAAGATTAAAAAAAAAGTCACGCTAATGATGTAGAAGTCTCAAAAACTCACAAAAACATATGTATCAAATCCGACACGCTGGGCTTAAAAGGGTTAAGAGTAGCCAGGTCCTGCGGACATCCTGAAAACTTCCCCATCTCTGCTTCATTACCTGTGAGTTGTTTGACTAGGTTGCGAAAACGCTAGCTGTTTAGCATTAAAACTGCACACTCTCTAGGGAGAAAATGCCATTTTTCCTCGATATAACGAGACCTCCAGGAATAAACGTTAACTTAGATATATCGGTCAACATTAACTAAATGTTTCCAGGTTATAAGAAGTTTTGTGTGGAGGTACATATTTAGAACTTCGAGTGTTTCTCGGACTAACAACGAAAATGTCGAGAACACCGAAAAGTGAATAAGACCTCAGGCGAAACTTACACAGAGCGATAATGAAGCACTCGCTCCCATTTTCAGCTCAGCGAACCGGGGCAGTTCTCCTTTTTTGAAATGTAAACAGGTTTTTCCCTCCTCGACATGATGATCCGCTCTCTGAAACTATCTGAAAGCCCGACGTACGAAGACTAATTACTGCCATGGCCCTCACATCCCAGTGTGCTAGGTGTACAACGGATGGGGAATGCTGTTGTTAAAATGGAGTAGTTAGCGTACTTCTTCTCACCGTTACGTTGGCTCCCCCCTGGAAAATATTGTTTAGGTTGCTAGTCACGTGACACAAGTGTAACCATGGTGACGTGTGGTAAGGAGAACTCGAGCCCTTCAGGACCAGGATGCTGTAGCTTACTTTACTGTAGGTTAGATGCTCGGTGTCGGAATTGTATCCCAAATTGCCACCAGATCATTTTATTTGTAGAGGAGCTTAAGTGGAAAAATATATATAAAGATGTTTTGTTATGTTATTTATTTTTACCTTAAGTGTTCCAGTCAAATGCAGAAAAACATGACCAAGGACATGGGGATTAAAGTTATTTCGACAAAAATTTAAAGACTCAATACCATTAATCTGAAATTTTTTATTGGCACTTTTAAATTAAAAATTCTGTTTAAATGAACAGAAATAAAGACATAAACAAACAACATAAATAGTATAATAATGGAATAAAAAATAATAATAATAGTGGCCAAATCTTACAGTCTCATCCATATAAACAGGACCTAACCCATGCTCTATGAGTACCCTCTACAAATATAAAAAGCAAATTAAGCAAACCCTAGTCCCAACTTACTGTTAAGAAACATCAAGGGCATTTGTAGTGATCTATTCACCAACATTCAAGTGACCAAAAAAAGCCTATTGCAATGTATTCATTACAATTATGATGACATCAAATTAAGTAAAAACATTTTTTACAGCTCTATGGCTGATTTGTGCATATAAATGGCACACGCACAAAGGACAAACCTGCTGTATTACAAAAAAACAAGGTCAAATAATACAAACACACAACCTGTGTTCATGTACAAACATGCCTGTGTGAACACTGACAGACAGAATGTACACATAAACATAGACAGACAAAACATGAAAATGAAAAGGACCAGCCTGGTCAGGCGAATATGCCAGCAGAGTTCATAATAATCACACCAGAAAGAGAATCAACATGCTGCTATTGTTGGGAAAACAATGGGATCTCCTTCTTGTGCTTACATATTTTTGAATCAGAATGACTTCGTCTACTTCTGTCTGATTCAGAAAAAAAGAGGTATGTGTATAAATTAAGTGAATGCACTTTAAAAATCATGTAAAACAAAGGCTTTATCATTGTTCCAACAGGCATTATGTGTTGACAGGTATTGACTATTACGGATGCTTTGGTAAGATATAACAGTATTATAGTTAAGTAATCATGAAAAAAAAGTTATATATGTTTGTCATCACGCTAAAATAACACAGAACAAATTTACAAAGATTTGTTTTACCAGCGTTATGAATGGCACCTTGTCTTTATTTTTCAGACTAACAATAAAGTGAGTATCAGTGTTTCAAATTTGAACAATGTTGTTCAGTTTACCTCGTAAAATGAGGCAGTAATAAAAGTCGACACAGGCATCAGAGTCAAATCTTCAAAAGAGATCTGCAGTGTGTGATTTAACCTGAGAAACTGGGCCAAGCACAGAGAAATGGCCTCTATTTAATAATTTTGGTGTATTAATATCTGGCACCAGAAATAAGTGGGTGACCCCTGTACAGTCAAAACAAAAATATTCTTCTAGGAGTTCAAAGACAGTTGCTGAATAATATCTGAAATCTTGTGAAAGGTGTTCAGACTCAGGCTACTGAAGCAACTTTGTCACAGCTGCTGCTATAAAGGACCTCCGGTTTGTCATTCTCGGGGTGCTTCCCGTTACAGCAGGGAAGGGTGAGCAGAGTGAGAAGGAATGCTCCCAGCAACACAAAGCTCCCACTAAAGTAGAACGCCAGGTCATATGACTGTGTCCAGTCAAAGAACCACCCTAGAAAGTGATGAGAAAAACAGAAACTGTGAGCAGAGAGGGATTCCTTGCAGACACAGCAGTGAGTCATTTCCTGAAGTTAACAGGCCTTTTGCAATTCCCTGTAAGATTTTGATTTTTGAAACGTCTCTAAAAGCTACACCAGGTTTTTATATTAGCACAAAATAGAATAATTACAACTGTTAGAAATTACCTACAACTTACCTACAACAGGGGGCCCAAGTATGATCCCAAATCCTCCAAAGAACATGACGATGCCGTGGGCTTGTGTCAGCTTTTCCAAGCCAACAATCCTAGTGGTAATGTAGGAGGTGAGAGACCAGTTTCCATTGGCGAAACCCACAATGGCAGACAGGATTTGCAGTCCTACATAACTGTTAGTGAGAGGAATAATGAGCAGTGCCACACCTCCTGCAAACATGGTGAAGGCATAGAGATAGATGCTGTTGATCCACCTGATGTCCACAAGGATACCTAGCCCTAGTTTACCTACGCAAGCTGCAATGGCCCCTATTGATACCAAAGGAATTAGACTAACTTCTTCAATGAGTCCTTGACTCTGTGCCACATCCTCAATGAAGAGCGCAGGTGGGAATGCACCTAAACTAAACATGAAGACACCGATACAGAAAGCCACCATCACTTGGTCCTGCAGGATCTCAGACATGGAGTGGATGTACTTGGAGTAAGCCTGCCGTTTCTCTTTGATGACCTTTATGATATCAAACCCAGAAAAGAAGCTGCCTTTTTTCTTCATAGTCTGAATGGCCAAGTCCTTGGCATCAATGGTAATGAGCAATTCCTTCACACCCAGTGTTTTCTCTGGAGTAGCTGTAGTAGAACCTGCAGTCATCTTCAGGTCTCCCAATTGGGGCTTTTCAAAAATCTGCTCTTCTGTGTTGCGCTCGAGGGCGGCCTTCTGTTTGAGGTAGTACCCAGGCATATTGAGGGGCCTCATGAAGCCAGCACAAGCCATGAGGTTTAGTGCTAAAGCTCCAATGATAAGGAGGCAACCATGCAAGCCATACAACATGATGAGCTCATTCTGAGCAGTGGCGTAGATGAATGCTCCAACGCTTGTGCCTGGGTGAGAAAAGGAGAAATGGAATGAGTAATACAATAACACATCAATCGATACAACTTAAAGCCATTGCGCCTTATCATCCACTAACTTTAAAGTGTAACTGACAACCAGAACGACGGCTCTGTGTTGAGATGGCTCTGTAGTTCTAAATCATTGCTAGACTCACTTTAAAAATAAGACTTGGATGTTACTAATAATCTTTAAAATGTAACTATGTCAAGTAGTTTCACAACATTTTGTTCAACTATTTACCAGTTTCGACTGCCAAACCACATCTGGTTGCTGGTCATCAGTCCTCTTCCCTACCCCACAGACCACTCTGACTTTGCTACTCTACTGATGTTTACCTCAGCTTCCTAAGGGTCCCAGCAGCGCAAACATGAAAGAAGTGAGCTTGGAGACCTGGTTTGCACCCATAGCCCTCAGGTCAGAGGAAGGCAGCAGTACCTGTGGTGACAATGCCAAGGGCGAGGCCGCGTCTCTTGTCAAAATACTGACAGGTGATTGTCAAGGTGGCTGCATAGACCAGACCACAACCCAGGCCTATGGTAAGAGAAAGAAGAAAACGCAAATGTCACGTAAAACATGAAAAATAAACAAGAATGGGGATGCAATGGCACATGAATACGACTGCTTAATGAGTAGAGAACAACTACATTTTAATCACAATTTTTAAAGTATGTTTTGTAGATTTTTGTTAAACAATATTGCTGTAAACTTGAACTCACTGCTTTATACAAGCAGCATGAAGCCTTAAGTTCAGAGGACACTGTGCATCAGATATCCTCAGCAAAACAAAGGATACAGTGAGCAGTAAACCGCTTTTACAGCTACAGTCAGCATTCTAAGGACCACTCTAAAAATAAATGACTGCTTTCAAAGATGCATGGCCTCTGACCTCTAGCGCTGACTCGCTAAAGGCAAGGCAAGGCAAGGCAAGGCAAGGCAAGTTTATTTGTATAGCACAATTCAACAACAAGGTGATTCAAAGTGCTAAAGGAACTATTTAATCCTGCGATGGATACCCAGGATTAAGTATAGCGGGGCTGTCACTTGAGGTGCAATAACAGGTGGTGTCGGGCACAAGTGCATACTGATGAGGCCACAAAGGCAGTTGTTTTTCTGTCAACAAGCAATATCAAACAACTCTTACGTCACACTACTGTATGTCTTGTCCACTAATTCTCAGTGCCAGTGATAATCATTAATACCCAACTGATCATCAGCATTTAATGGTGCGAAACAGTTCAACAAGGCCATGTGCCCCTGTTTGCTCCAAATGATTATATAATGTGTTACAGGATTTTCATATGTTAGAAGAAAACAAGCTTAGTCTACATCAATGATCGAAGAAACATAAAAAACGTTTTGCGCACTGACAAGACTGAACTCCATAGCCGACTGTCTTAACGACGGTCAGGTGAATAAATCTCAGGTGTTCTTGAAGCACTGCCAAGTATAGCATAAAACACACAAGAGGATGTCATTCAGTGTGATTATAAAGTGTTTCCTTACCGACCACAATCCCATAGGAAAACATAAGGAATTCAACATTTGGAGCAAAGGCACTGAGCATCAGGCCGCCAGCCACCATTACACCACTGAAGATGGTCACAGGGCGAGCGCCAAAGTTGTCCACGCAGGCGCTGCAGATAGGACCTGAAGGAGCAATGGCAGAAAGAGACACAGAGGCAGAAAAAAGTGATGGTCAGAAATCTCATCTCACTCACAAAGCATGACACTGACACATCACATTAGGTTTAAACTGGCAACCTGCCTGAAGGATTCTCACATCTCTCACAAAGTTCATCACTTAGTTTAGTTCCAGTTTTATTTAATTCCAACCTTATTGCAATTTTACCTGGCTAATATTTAACATGTATTTTTAATCACCTTTTACAAATAGAGCAACAAACTGTATATACTATACTGAGAGCAATTCTGAAATTTAGTACACAGTGATTTTTTTTCACTCTGCCATACCCATTCAGACTGCTTTACTTATGTACAATTTGCTGATTGCTTCTCTAAGCAGGAGGAAGACTTGGCCATTGTACAGCAGAAACTGCAGTGCTGAAACAGGCTGACGGCTGGGACATGTGTCCAGAGATTGGCCACCCTTTGGGGTAGATCCAGGCATGATTTTTACCTCATTCCTTAGAAAAAGACAGCAAGAAGCAAGGCTGGAAGATAAGCTTTGGTTTATACAACAATGTCAACCAAGGCCTATATCACTAATTCTTTTGCTTAACTGCTGTGGAGCATACTTTGTACTCTATATATGATATCTTTCAGAAATGACTGAAAGGCTAAGGAGGATGAATATATTTTGTATTCATATTTTACATTCATACTCCAGTGGCCATGGTCGTTTACTTTCAGGCACCTTTGCTTCTCTCTTTTTATATGTGCGTTCAATAAAGCTTATATATATATATAGTATCTGTATTTTCGCCTCAACTTATCTTTGTTTTCCTTTGTCTTTGGTCAGATTAAGAAGCAAGTGATCCCATTCCATTACATCACATCAAATCTGCTCCAAGTAAAAGTAAAATGTTACTTTTTTAGTTTCCTGTTTTATTGTGAAAGTCTGTGTCTTATGCCAGTGTATTCAGTTTGCGTTTCCCCTCTCGTCTTGTCAATCACGATCAGCTGTGCCTCCCTCCTGTGTGTAGTTTCCTCGTTCCCTTCTGTGTATTTAGTGTGTGTTCACTCATGTCCGTTGCTAGTCCGTCTGTGTTTCTTCCCTGCTTTTCTCCAGAGTCGTCGGTTCAGGTTCGTTTTGTTAGCCATTCCCAGTTTAGGTCACCTTTAGGTTTTATTTTGTTCGCCGTGTTTCTGTTTGTGCCTCCACTGTATGTTAATAAAGCTTGCCACATCTAAGCCAATGCCAGCGTCTGGGTCCTCCCTCACACTCACCACACGTCTGCCCCCCGCAGCCGTGACAACTGGCTTAATCCTTCAAATAAATAAGTTTTTATATTTAAAAACTGGCACATCCAATATACCCCATTCTTACTTTAGTTCAATTGCCCCTTTACATATAAGTCAGCCTTCAGACTTTGAGCAGGTGTTATGTCTCATTTGTTATCAGGGACATCTTATGGTACATAACTGGGAAGGAAATTGTAGGAAGACAGGTGTAAAGGTGAGGATTTAGTGCTTTACATTTACCACAAATCACATATGATATCTTAACCTCTCTAACTCAGAGAGGTTAAGATACTGTTAGCAGCAAGTAAAAATATCCAAATGTTATGGTAACATCAATTTACTGCTTACCAATAAATCATCAGATAATGAAAATCAACCTCGGACTGAGAAATCTCTGCTAATGAGTTTACTTCTTCTACCCCAATATGAAGTATATTAAAGTATACTGAAGTATAGTATGCCATTACAATGTGTGTTACTCACTGGCTATTAGTCCCACTCCAGAAACAAGGGAGCCCACCCAGGCAGTCAAGCCCTTGCCTTGCTGGTATGTATGGAGCCACTCAGGGTAGAGTACACCCACAGACTGGGGTGATCCATAAGCAAGGAACTGGGCCATGAAGGAAGCCGCAACAATCGCCCATCCCCAGCCTCCATCGAGCACTTTTGAAGCCATGATGCTGATGTTATTGCTGCGCTCTGGGATCTGTTATGGCTTCTGGAGGTGGTGTTCCTGGTAAGAACATAGAAACAAACAATACAATTACATTTTTACAGCAAAATTGAAACAAAAAAAAAGAGTGCTCATCCCTGGATGATATTTTTAGACCTGACCTACAAAAACCACTTACTTCAAGCCTTAATCTGGGGAAGGCTGTTGCGGCACCTGGCCTGGCCAAACAGGGAGGCCACCTGTGTCAGGTCTTAAACACAGACTGACTGCAACTTACTCAGAGTCAACTGGCCCTTTTGAGCCTTTCTCTTTAACCACACCTCGAAGGAGGAGAAAGTTAAAAAAAAGAAAAGAAAGAAAGAAAAAAGCATTTCACCTTCAACCTTCCCTTCAACTCAGCTCAGATGGCTATAGAGGAGGTTTCTCTTCTGTTCTTACCCAAGATTTTAAGACCGCTGATCATAACTACCGCACTTTTTTGCGTCACTAAGGGGAAAGTTAGTGCGAAGCTTCAGATATGTCAGATCTGTATGTTTACAAAGCATGTATTTACATGTTTACAGTAAATACAATTCAGCCAAAGAAGGCATCTTTAATATAAATGTAAAGCAAATAGGAACCAAAAAAGCTGCTTACAGTTTATGGATATAGCCATACCCTAACACTGCCATTGACCAACACTTGTGAAAATAAAAAAGTGACGACGTTTTTTAGCCATATATCTTTGATTCACTGCAAAGAGACACGCGTTTTTTAATGTTGTTAAAAAACAATACATGCGGCACTCACCTCAGCATATACAAATACAGCTGCAGGCGCCTGCCTAACTGCGCGCTCTGCGGGAACTTTCCATGTTAGGATGTTTTCCTTGTTAAAAAAAAAATAAAACACCTCGTATCGCTACAAAGCAAATAAAAATGAAGGCATCGCACACTCTTTCTGTTTTTTGAGCTGGACTATAGGGGTTCCTTCACCAGAAAACGCACTGCATCAACAGCGTTTCATTGTGCATCCTGCTTTGCAGCCGGCGACCAAACCGGTTCAAAGCTGTTCTTGCTGGTCCAGCGGCAGCTTGAACGCATCTACAACAGAAAAAGCGCTGCTTTCGCTTGCGCGCCTGGAGCGCAGAAGACAGACAGAACGGCTCTTAGCGATGCGGCGGATGTGTTTTGTGGTTCAGACGTGTATGTTTTTCTCCTGCTTCGTGTAAAACAAGCAAGTATTCAAAATGCACATGCACAAAGCTGTTTACCTGGAAGCTCTCCGGGTCATAGGGGACAAATGAAGGATCTGTTTTTGTAAAGCTGGTCTTTGAAGCAATGAGAAAGCGTAATAATGACGATAACTAACGGTAGCTATAAAATAACAATATAAACACGTAGAAAGAAATATACTGCTTTCATCTGAGTCTGACTGATCAAGCTGAAAGTTTGGGGTTCTTGTACTAACAAATCGGTCTGAGGGTATGCTTTCTTTCCCTCTGGTGTCATCATTAATATTTCCATCAGTCCAGTCCGAACCGGTTGCATCAGCAGGACGCGAGTCATCTTCCCGGTGAGCGCAGGTTAAAGCAATGCATGTACAAAACTTGAGCCAAATCATAATCTGTCACCACATCGCTGGAAATAACTGGAGTCTGTTTAAAATCATAACGAATACGAGTAAAAACGAGCTGCATCATAGAGAGCTACCATGCAGGTAACATGGTATCCGAGGGTATCCAACACACTAAAGAGAATCTCTTTATTAGGTTTAAATGAAGCCGGAGAAAAACATACATGTGTGAACCACAAACCACTCATATGCATGAGATTGTAGTGCTAGTGATTTTGTTTATGGTAATCAAGGGAACAACGAATATTAGCAGCATCCCCACTGATTTATAAAGAGAAGGCACACAATATCAGAGTTTGGGATTTACTTGAAAAAAAAAAGTGTGTTTATAAAAAAATAAAAAATAAGAGCTTATATAGGCTTTATCTCCCCTAAATCTTGTTCTATCCCCAAAACAAAAGAAAACAACAACAACAACCAGACATTTTTTTAAACATAGGGTGTCTCAGGAAATTTTGACTTTTAATTTAATCCATACATTACATACATACATAGAAGGACAGCAGGGAGATTAATTGCTATAATCATTCTTTTGTAGGATCATAAAGTTATATCATCCATGTTGTTTGTCCCCATTCTTAACCTCAGGTCAGTAACATTGTGAAACCAAGTCACCAATGAATAGTGGGCGTGATGGTGGGAAGAAGAGTAGAATGGGAGAGGAGAGGAAGAAAGGAGAGGTAAAACAGGTTTGCACACTGAATGAACTCAAAATTCTTGAGGATCTTTGATGCTTTTCCCAGAGCTGAGGTCTGCTGCCAAAAAGGGTCTTACTGAAAAGATTTAGGCTCCATAATCCCCTTCTGCCTGAAAAACTAAGTGGAAAAAAGAAAAAGGGAGACAGAATTAATTGTACTTTACAGTCACATTACACTGACATGTTGCTCCAAACCAGTTTCAGCTAGATGTAGTGCATGTCACAGACAGAGCTAGGAATTTGAGGTTGTTTGGGGAGTGGATTACAGAGTGGCTATGACACACTTTGAGCACTACTGACTGAAACTAGAATTGATGTTGATGCATTCAAACATTCCCAGGTTCCATATATGGACTATTAATTCCACTGGGTTAAAATCCATCTAAGATCCACCGATCTTAAATTTTAAGCTTTATGTTTTGCAAACTTCAAATAGCAGTAAAGTAAGTTTGGTTTTCAATACTTGTTTGATGCAGCAGTAATAATGAGAGTGAAATTTGCATAAATCTTCACATGATTGTTATATGCTTGAAGCTTTGCAAACATGTTTAATCTTGCAAGTTCATGTACAACATCAAAGATAACAATTCAGCCAACCTGAGATCACAGAGCATATAAATTCATTTGTAAAAACTACTAGAGAAAATCACCTGCGTCTACGCCCAGGTGTTTAGTAATTCCTCAGTTTGGAGGTTGACCTGAATAATTACAGGCCTATTTTCCTCGTCTGTAATCCAAGGTATTTCACACTGCGGATCATTATGTTTGATAAGCTCCATGTGTGTTTTGACTTATAACTTGCTGTTAGACCTTAAATGCCTCGACTAGCATTGCAAAATCAATGCTAAGCCTAAAATAAACAGTTGTGCCTTTTGCGATCCCTAATTGTTGCTCCACACGGTAAAATAACATTTCTTCACCAACTAAATTTGAGACACATGCCATGTAAGGTTTGAAATTAGGATTAAACACAATTTCAGCTGCTTTAAAAAAAAAATCATTTTATACTTCAGCTGTCACTCCAGACATAAAAAATTATTAACACTGAGATCTGTGAATTAACCCCAAACACTGTGTGTGGGCTTGAGCAATCATTTTGTTCTTTACAAGTAATGTCTTGTAATGTATATCCCATATTCAAATATAAAGAAATGTATTTTGAAAATAGTCTCATTGAGACATTATGCTCACATTACTCACCCAAAGCTCATTTAGTATACTCGCACGTTCCCGTGAGATTTATGTGTGCTGACTTTAGTTTAATAGCTTGTCTTTTTATCTAACACTTTTATGACACCTGAGATTCAGTGACCCGCTGTGCCTTTCCGTAAGAGGCTTGGCAGGTGTAAGCACACAGCGCCACCCCGCAGTCTGGATAAATCTTGGGTGGTTTGGCCATCCTAGCTCCATAAAGCTGCAGAGGTTAAAGGCCACTTTAACACCCAGCATTGCCACCCTGAGCTTCCAGTACGGATTCATGCTTGGATTAGTTCAGGTTGCTGGCTTTAGCAGTAAGTGAGAACACCGCACCACAGTAGAAAAACACAGGATCCACTTTAGTTGTGCCAGAACTCTCAGCAAGCCTTCAAATAAAGATATACTTATGTCACTCTTAGGATGAGATGTGTATTTTGATTTTGGTGAGATTAAGCTGAGTGTATGTGCGAACAGGAACAGTTACATGCGGAGACCTAATGGAAGTCTAATGTGTTTTGCAGGCTGTCATCCTCGTCCTGTTCTCTTCCCACGCCAGGTTATTGCACCCACATTACAAAGGTTTACCGTGTTAAATGATCCTGGAATGACTGATTTATGGAAACCACTCCTCCGGTCTCCATCCAGTTGAAACCGGTTAGAACCATGTGTAGTAGGAAATGAAAATCAGACACTGGCGCAGTGGAGTGTCAGCAGATCTATACAAGAGGACATCACATGATGTGGTTGTTGCAACAGATTAACATCTTAGGATAAAAGATCTTTATTTCAATTTGTAGTTAGCAGCATGGCTGGCCACGCAATTTGACGATCTACCAACCATTTTACTAATATCAGACTGAAATAGCAGTTAAAATTTGAACATATTTAACAGGTAGATTTAGAAGTTCATTTTTTATCAATTTGATATCATGTTCACAAGTTCAGTCCTCTAAAGATCACTATAAATAATCCCGATAAGCACAGAGTTTAAGAGCATCATATCAGAGGGAGTGTCGTTTTAGCAGAATAGCAAAGTTGTCAAAGGACCACAGCAGTCTTTAGGATTTATTATTCTGCCGTTAAACATAAATAGCCATGTTTATCCACGCATTTCTCTGGGGACATTTCAAGAGTCACCCTCATAGTGACACACTTTAGAGGAAGTTGGGGAATCACCAGTCATTATATCCTCTAGGAACTATAAGTGTACCGTAAATCCACTGTGGGAGACTGAGTAAGTGGCAGCTGACCTGCTGGTGTCTGTAGAGGGGGGAACAATGTCAGCCTTTGCAAACTTTTACAGCAATCTATCATATTCACTGAGCCATTTTTGGTAAGACATTAACCCTTAGCAGGTCTTACCTGTGTTGAAGTGTACCTACCTGTGCTCATAAACGCATACTGCCCTATAATGTTAAATGGTGAATATAAAAAAAATATAAAAATGTTTCTACTGTTCCAGGTTGTGAGCTTTGTTGGTGCAGTTTATTTAAGGCACAAACATTTTCCATCAACTACTTCAGAGATTTGTCAGACTCTCATAACTACCACAGTGAAACATTCCAGTGAAGTTAAATACACAAAAAGATGATGCATTTTTGAGCCTGTTGAAATGTTTTGTTAAATTAAGCAAGTGCATCAAATCGCAGGTGTGAAAGTGAAAAAGAAAAAAAAAAGAAAAAAAGATTGTCTTCCAGGTTTGCTTATCAGTTTTACACCCACAGTTATTACATTACAACTGAATATCAAACGATATTCATAAAATTCACAATTAAAACAGAAGTTGTCATCTCAAGAGCTTTAATCATACATAGAAATTTAGTTCAACAGTACCATTCATTTAGAATGTTTTCGCAGTATGTATATTTAGTGTAAAGAGCATTGTTTTTTTTTCTGATGGGAATATCCATAAGGATGACAGAAGCTTTCAGAAATACACCAGAGAGAGAAGATCAGAGAAGAGACTGAGTACATGACTAAGTTGTAACACCTCAGACTATATTTTCAAACACCTCAAAAGGCGACATTTATCTGTGGTTTATGTGTCCATCCTCGTTGATGCTTTTTTTCCTTTTCATTTTAACATAGGAGCAGCAGATCTTTGAATGCTTACACAAACTAAAATACCTGTGCTGCAAGCACCGTTTGATCAATGCCCTATTATAATGGAGAAACTCCTAGCACTCTTCTATGACACCGTTTTGTTGACCTAATCAAAGCCACGTTAAACTTGGGGTTGTGGTGAACTGTTTTACACTGCTTTAATGACAGAGGGTGATCTGGAGTGGAGGACATTACTGCAATCAAGTGTCATATTATAGGCATGAAAATAATTGACCACATCCATCTATTTAGCCATCCAACTCTCTAGCCATACATCCATCCATCGATCGATCGAAACATCCAACCTATCGTAAAACATAACCATGAAACATACTGTATGTGCTGTTTGTGCTATCTTAGAAGCGCCACAACAACAATTCCAACCAGCTAAAGTCCCAAGCAAAGAAAAAAAAAACATGTACAAGACAAAAGGTGGAACAGATAATTATCCTACAAATCCCAGAAGTGATTATTTTTCAATTATCCATTCCTTTTAAGAGAAGTTAAGTAACGCCACATGAAGATTTGGCAGGCAGATAGCCTCACTGAAGGCGAGTAGCTATCTCGTTTCTTTTCCCTCCAAAACTTTTGAAGCTGCGTCTTTTGTTGAGTTGGTACAGAGTAAGAAACTTCACTTCCAGAGCTGGTAATGATGGAAGCTGCTGCATTAGCATCGTGGCATTCAGTGGGCGCGCTCACGCGCAAAGACAGAGACTGTGTGTGTGGCTTTAAGGCTGGGAGGGAGGCTGCTGCTGCGCTGTTGATGCGTGCTGTGACATGGCTGCCGGGGAGGACATGGATTGGACCATGGGTTGAGCTGGCGGGGGTAGCGGAGGCTGAGCCTGTTGGGCCCCTGAGTGTGTGTTGGGGGAGGGTGGGGGTGTTGGACGTTTGAATTTGTCAGGGCTGGTGCTTCTTCTTGGGGAAGGCCGCTGTTTGACAAAAGGAGAAAGAAACGAATAAACACAGATTGCTTGTAAATCACAACCAGATGACAGAATTCTAAAAATTTCGTGCAGAAAATAGAGTTTATGGCAAACAGACATTCGGAGAAATTTTGTTTTATCAATACATTTTTTAAAAGTTTATGCGTTTAATTGTTCCCA